TTGGCAAACTTTTCTGTGAAAAGTCAGTAGATATTTTAGGCCTTGTGACTCATACAGTCTTTGTCACAACTACCCAATTCTTCTGCTTTAGGTGAAGGTAGCTATAGATAATACATAAATGACTGACCATAAGTATATTCCAATAAAACTTTATTTGTAGACACTGAAATTTTCATTGCATATCATTTTCATGTATTATGAATATTATTCTTTTAATTTTTCAACTATTTAAAAATGCAAAAAACATCTTTGAGAATTATACAAAAGCAGGCATTAGGCCAAATTTGTCCCATGGGTTGTAGTATGACGACTCCTGGTCTAGTGGCAATGCTGCTGCTTCAAGGGCTGAGTAACCTTCTCTCAATCACAGTCCAAATGAAAACTCTCTAAAGATGGTTCTGTTTGTACAGTTTTCCCATATGACACATTCAAAACTTTAGGGATCATCAATATGCCCATAATTTTCCATTGGTTGTCCCGCTTTATTGGCTGGTCCATTAAAAAATATTTTAAAAATTTACAGGGACTTATTCTACTTTTCATCATAACAAGTATATATAAAATAATGTATGGGGGTTAGAACAGGAAACTAGGATAACAGGAGTATCGGTTCTGTTCTCAGTCAGTTCTTTGACTGGATAAATAACCCGACTGCTTCACATCTCCTTTTCTTTGTCTGGAAAGTCAGAATTGTCAGGTATTGTTACTAAACAGTTATGTTAAATGTTAAAGTACATGGTAGGTGGTGGTGGGTGTGATTACGTTTGTATCTTCCAGAGTTACCACATTTTCAGGAAAAAAAAAATGTTTACTTTTTAGTACCATCACATACAACTGAAAAGATGAATATTTCTGAAGAGGAATAGGGCGGGTGATTTGTTCTGAACATTTTGATGTAGAAAATCTAAACCCAAAGATGACATCAAGCAAACTATAGCACAAAATACACATATGTAAAACCTCATGGTTTTCCTATGTGCCTACTATTAACAGGAGAGGTTTGGTTTAGGGGTCTGTAAAAATGTTTTCTTTCTTTAAGTACAACGCTCAGAGCCAAGACATCATCAGCTTCAGGCTCAGTCAGTTCCAGTCGAAAGTGTGAATGTTCAGCAAAAGGATGTTTTTGAAAGGAGACTGAAAACCCACTGTGCCAGATACCTGAAACGTTGTTAGGGTATTCAGTGGAAAATTACATTTCCACATTATAAATAACTGTAGAATATTTTAAGAGATCCAAGACTAGTAACTTCCAAGAGCTGCTTATATTAGTTCCACTGAAATGTGAAATGGAGGAAGGATACCAAGAAAGGCTATAAAGCTGAGTTACTGGATATGATTAATTAAAATAAATAATCTCACTATTAATTAAATTGCCCTTCAAATCCCCAACCACTGAGGCCTGCATAGTTTGCTATCCACCAAATAAAACAAAGGACAAAACAGCGATGGAGAAAAAAGGAGGAAAAGTCCCCAAGGTAACTTCTTAAATTCATTCTAGAATTTTTTATTTGGAAAGCCCCTCTGGTGGTCCATATTTGAAATATGAATTGTTTCTTATTGTCTTCAAAGTTCCAGGAGTTCTCTGTTCTATGAACTTCCTGGGAGGAGGACAATCCCAGAAAAGGTGGCATATCACCCACCATGGTAGTTATGGAATTTTGATCTCACTTTTACCACAGAAATAATCAATTCCCATAACTGCTTCCCCCTCTTTGCAGCCCCCACAGATTTAAAAACAAAAAATGAGCCAGGGATCTCTGTTAGACAGTCGCACAACATGCCCAAAGCATAACTAGCCCCCTAAAAAGAAAAAAAAAAGGCAGGAAAAAAAGCTATGAGTGTGAGTGCGTGTGTATTTATGTGTGAGTGCGTGTCTATTTATGTGTGTCTGCGTATGGACGTGCAAGAATGTGTGTCCGAGTGCACGTGAGTGGATGTGTAAGGTAGAACAGCAATGGATGCTGTCTCTCTCTTTTGAGGGGAAAGCCTGGCTTCCCTTCCCGGATCGGCCGCCTGTGGGACTCGAGAGACCTGTGCACGCAGGGGACGCGGCGGTGCCCGGGGTTAGAGCTCTCCCCTGTGACCGAAAAGATAATTAAAAATCGCACGCGCGGGAGCCAGCTCAGCTCCTGGCTGCGCTTCCAGTTGGTCCGGTCTGGCTAAATGGGTTTTCGCATCCTGGCGGCGCCCGGGCTGGGAGGCCAGTAGGCCGGGCGCGAAGAGTAGGTTGGGGACCAGGTGTCATAGCGGATGGCGCAGAATCGCTTCTCGGAGTCACCGAGGGTGGCAGTGGCAGTGGCAGGCGGCCGTGGGGGCGGGAGTGGAGCGGCGCGGGGTTCATGCCTGTGGAGGGATTTGGGGAAGAGGCAGGAACGTGGAGAGAAACGTGGGAAAAGGAAAGACCGACTAGGGAGGCGTGGAGCAGTGCATGGAGGAAGGGCAGGTAAAAATAAAGCCCCAAACAGGAAGGATAGAGCAGTATCCCCTGAACTCCATCCTTACCCCCGCAAGAGCGCACACCTGGCTACCCCGCACCCCCACCTCTGCTCCTGCGGTCTGGTAGACCCTCAGTCCCCCGCGCATCTCTTCAGCGGGGCGATCCTGGTCACCGAGTCACATAACCACAGCCCTGCAAGCTCATCTTGTACTCGAAAGGGCTCCAGAGTCCGCGATTGGCACCAGGCCCCCATCTTCCGTGCCCCTCATGCTCTCAGAGCCCTTCCAGGCCCCTTCTAGGGCGCAGACCCGGGCGTGGGCTCAGCGAGTGAGAGCAAAGCTTTAAAACCAGACAGGGAGAGTCGTGGCAGGTTGCTAAGAGGGTGAGGGAGGCGTTTGCACTGAGCAATAAAAACACCCAGTAATGGGTATGTGAATTGCTTTAAATAAGATGGGAGGGAGAGATGACCCAACCATCTTTCTTCCTTAATACTTCGAGGAGGCGGCATTCTAATTCTTCATTTATTTCATAAACTCACTTGTTACTGTGTCAGCTACTCCACTAGGAATCTTCGAAACTTTGGCAACTGAAGATTTTTTTCGCAAACACGTTTTCAAGCTTTGGAAGGCTTTAAAGAGTTTGGTAATAAGCAAGAAACGTAGTAGTACACAACGCCGAGGGTAAAACGGCCCTGTGCCCCCTTCTTGGGGTGTAATAGCCTCAAGCGGATTTCCCGGCTTCTGCGGGCGCAGCACATTGTTTTATTTGTTTTGAAGGCTCAGAGTTTGAGGCTGGTCGTAGACACCCACGTGCTCTGACTCTCATCAGCGTAATGATCGCCTTAGCCAAAGTCGTGTCTATATAAACCACAAAAACCTAATCATTAGAAATCCCAGCCTCCAAAAACCACATTTTAGGTAAAAAGTGCCGCTTTTTTTCCGCGCTCCTTCATCCTCTCGACCGCAACTTTTTGGGGGATCCAAAGTCGCTTTTTAAACCCACACTAGGAAATAAATACATAAATAAACAGCCACGGAAGCATTTTGAATTTTTTAGTTCGTATTTTTAATTTTTTCCCGTGAGCGTTGGGGAAGACAGACACGAAACTTAGTCTTAGATGTAGGATAGACTTAATAAAAGATTTAAATTCATGGAAAAAGGCTGGTGCTTTTCCCCAGCAAGGGTTTTACAACTATTTTAATCACCAAGCTGACAGTTTTTCAGTCCTTAAAACAAAAACAAACCAACAACAACAAAAAAAACCTCATTCTTGTTCTCTAGGAATGACAAGATTGAATATATAAGAAAAAAGAAATGTCCAGCTATGCACTTGAGTTCCTAAAAACTACTTTGACTAGTTCTCTCCCCACCCCCCTCATTTTTTTGTGTCATTAAAACAAAAAACACCCAAACCCTGCAAAATCTTTTTCCCCTGGGAGTCGCTCAGACAGAGGTGGGGGGTGGAGGTGGGAGGGTGAAGAGTGCTGAGAAGTCAGCACAGACGCTCAAGAATTTTCCTTCCTCCTCTCCTGAAGTTACAACGAAAAATAGCGACAGTCAGATCAGCCGGGGGCTCTCTGGTGTCTCGGCTTCAATCTCTTCCGACAAAGAGGGGGTTCCTTGTCCTAGGGGTGGGGAGAACAAGAGGACGCGACCAGGCGAGACTGCCCCTAGACTAGGGCCGCCTTTCGGCTTCGGAAGCTGCACAAGGCGCGCGGGGGGCTCCTTCTCGCGGCCGGCTGGCGGCGGCAGCGGCTGCGATTCGCAGGCTCGAGATCCGTTGCCCCGAGATCCGCTGCCCACGACTTACCTCTTGGCACCTTGAAGCGCGAGAGACAGGGGAGCTTTGCAAATTGTAGGAGGGAGTAGATGCAAGGAGGTGGCGGAGAGAGGGCGAGAAGAAAAGAAGGGAAAGGAAGGAGCCTAGCCGGGGAGCCGGGCTGGCAGCCGCCGCGGGAGGAATCTGAGCGTGCAGCCGGCGCGGGGGGAGCGGCGGCCGCCGCGGAGGCGGCGGCGCGGGAGGGCGGAGGCGCGGCCGCCTGCAGCTGGGTAGCAGCGCGCGGCGCGGCGCGGCACGGCGGTGGCGGGCAGCGCGCGGCAATGCCGGCCCCGGGGCTGGACTGCTGAACCCACACCGCTTCACCACCGGACTCGAACTGGGAGGGGGCGCCAGCGCACCCAGGACGCGGTGCCCCAAGGGACCCCACTCCAAGCTGCAAACTCAAGTCCCCCGCCTCCCCGGGCCAAACACACTCCCGCGCCCGTTCGCAGCTGCCACCCCGGGTGTTCCAAAGGCTCCGGCAAAGATCTGCGCCTCCCGGGTTTCCCTACCGGCCAGCCCGACTGCGCCGCATCGCCAGACTCTCTTGGCCCATCAGACTCCGCCCGGCAGTCGGCCTCATCAAACTTGATTTCTCACCTCCTCAGCCCCATCACCTCCATCCTCTTTCCCCCCGTCTCGCCTTCACCCCCCCAATTTCCTCCTTGCCCCTCATTTCCACCCTCCTCCCCCTCCCCCGGCCACTTCGCTAACTTGTGGCTGTTGTGATGCGTATTCCCGTAGATCCGAGCACCAGCCGGCGCTTCAGCCCCCCCTCCAGCAGCCTGCAGCCCGGCAAAATGAGCGACGTGAGCCCGGTGGTGGCTGCGCAACAGCAGCAGCAACAGCAGCAGCAGCAGCAACAGCAGCAGCAGCAGCAGCAGCAACAGCAGCAGCAGCAGCAGCAGCAACAGCAGCAGCAGCAGGAGGCGGCGGCGGCGGCAGCGGCGGCGGCGGCGGCGGCGGCGGCGGCAGCTGCAGTGCCCCGGTTGCGGCCGCCACACGACAACCGCACCATGGTGGAGATCATCGCCGACCACCCGGCCGAACTCGTCCGCACCGACAGCCCCAACTTCCTGTGCTCGGTACTGCCCTCGCACTGGCGCTGCAACAAGACCCTGCCCGTGGCCTTCAAGGTAAGAGTCTACACCGCCCCCCGCCCCCGGCCCGGAGCCGCGGAACCTGCCCGCCGGTGTCTTCCTGCCCACGGGGCTGGGCCCCGGACGTTCTCCAAGACCTCCTGCCTTGGCGGCTCTAACCCCAGAAACCCCCGGCTGGGCCTCTCCCTCCGGATGCCCTGGCGGGCTCGAGGCTCAGTCCCTCCGCGCAAATTCCTCCTTCTCCCACCTGTGCCCGCTGCCACCCCGACTTCAGCCCTCGTCCCCCTGACCCGTTCATCACTCCTCTTGCCTCCTGCCCGGCCTCGGTTCTCACCCACTCCTTCGCTCCGTCTCCCTTTCCCCCAGGATCCCCAAGGTACCCACTCTTGCACTGCGAGCGGACTTGCTCCACCCCGCCCCTTTCCCGGGGGCGAGGATCCCCGACACTGTCCCCCGGGGCTCCCGCTTCCTCCTCCCTGGTCATCCCGGCCTGGCCGCATTGCAGGCTGCCCGCGTCGCCTCTCTTTGGGGCTCCGCGCGCTCCCACCCGCTTCCCTCCCAGCCAAAAGCCCCTCCTTAGGTCTCGGCGTCCCCTTCCCTGACCCGCAGAGTTCAGCGGTCCTGGTCCCTCCCGGGCTCCCGGGTCGGGATTCACTGGGTGCCGGCGCCGGGCATTAGTGCCGAGGGCTGGGCGTGGGGTGCTGACTGAGGCGCGCGGGCTGCACTACCCGTGCCTGGGAGGGTCCCGGACAAGACTAGGGTCTCCAGAGGAGGGGGTGTCAGGACGGGGGCGTTTGCTCTGTTCGCTGACCCGCGCCAGATCCCGTTACCGGGAGGAAGGCGGGGCAGCCTGGGCGTCCGCGAGCCCCGAAGCGGGGGCGTTTAGGGGGCCTGGGCGCTGAACCCTCGAGTGCTGGGAGGTGCTGGCCAGGGGAGGGGGCGGGAGCTCGGGCCGCTTCTTCCAGCCCAGACCGAGCTATGCGCCTCGCCCCGCCAGGGAGGGATGAGGGAGACCTGTGAAACAACTTGAATTCGCCCAATTTGAAAACGGAGGTGAAATTTTGTATTTTTGCTTTAGTATTATTTTTAAAGGACTTAAATCTTAAAAAGGTCCCTCCTGCTTCTGAAAGGTGGTGAGAGGCTCCTGCCGGTGGTCTGAGCACAGAGTGAGTTCGAAGGCTTGAGAGCGGCCTCTGCGCGCCCCGCGGACTCTTGTGCCTGCCCGGCCCGTTAGTTTGAGGGCGGGTGGCAGCCGCGGGAGTCGCAGGCAGGTGCTCCACAGGTTGAGGGTTTAGGATCTGGAGCCTCTCACAGTAGCCCGATGGGTCTCCGTAACTCGATCCGGATTTCCCGGGGCAGTCCTCTCCAGTGGGGGAGACGCGGAGTCCCCAGGGCCCAGCGCATACTGGGTTGATGGGGAAATGGGTTCCCGGGCTGTCCACACTCGCAAGACGCCAGGGACGCAGGGGGTGGTAAGCCAGATGTGGAGATGAGCACTCTCACAAAGGTGCTTTGGGCCCTTTCTACCTCTGAACTTGAGTAGGTGGGCCTGGATCCCCTGGGTTCTGAGGTCTGTGGAGAGCAGGGCAAGCAAGGCCTCGGGGGAGGTTAAAAAAAAAGTTGGGGGAGGAATCATGCCAGTTTCTCCACTGGGGACCCGGTGGCCAAACTCCCACGGGCCACTGACAGTTCCCAGTTGTTGATAATTCTCACCCCACGCACCAATTCAGATTCCGTGTGTGGGTGGGATGGAAAGAAAGAGGAGTCCAGGTCAATTAGAGCTGGTAATCTCGCTAGGTCTTATATCAGAACAGAAATCAGAATGAATTGTTATGGAAAGGGGATGTTGCTTTCTGGGGCAAGTTTCATTTTGCAGTTGGCTCAAGAAATTTTTTTTTTTAACCGTCACATTTCTCCTTTTATAAACCACCCATTTTGTAGGTTAATGTTTGCTTCCTTGAAGTAGGAAAAGCTCAGAATACATGTGAATTGTATAAATTTAAATTTCCATACAATATGTATCTTTTACAATGTCCATCGTCCAAGGGCACAGAATTTTTAAATTAGTCTTATATGAGAATGGAAATTTGTTTCCACCAATGCCCCTTCAATCCCCCAAACCAAAAGCCCCACAAAACCCCAAACCTGGATGAAAACAGCAAAAAATACAAATACAAATTAGTAGATCAGAATATGTGAAAATATGAGAACAGATGCTTACATTTTTAAAGACATTTAGATGCTTGATATTCCATATACCATTCTGCTAAACATATTTAAGGTCTATCTTGAACTGTTGCATTTATGCTACTAAATTGATTTGAACATGAGCATTTTGGATGGAAAGGATGCTTTTTGCACTTTAGCTTGAGCTAGTCTCAGATATTTTGGCTGTCATCTAAGATTTTTCACTACCACCCTTTAAAAATTATTTTGAAAATGAATTTTGTTATTTGTTATTAATCAACTTGTTAATTACAGAGTACATTTTTGTTATCTTAAGCAGGATACAGACCATAGGTAACAAGATCATATTAAAACAGATATTTTAATTGATATCAATTGAATAATGAATTGAGTTAACCTAAAACCTCACTGTCAATATCTTTCTGTTACCATACCTGTGTTAAACAGAATTCAAAAAGTGGGTGATAGCTAAGATCTACGCAGTATAGAAAATACTCGGTTGAAAAAAAATGTATGGATGTTTGGAACACTAGACTTTCTACACTCTTACAATATAATCAAATACATCTGCAATGAAGAAATAATATGAAGAAGCCTCCGTTTTAAAAGTGGTGACAGCAATTTGGCCATGGTATTTAGAGCTATGTAAAAAATAAATTATAGTGGTTGTCAGGTAGATAGCAGATAGGTAAATGGGTTTAAACACACACACACACACACACACACACACACACACAACTTATTTGTTGTGAAGTCTGGTATTCAAATCAATACAATATTTATTGAGCCCATATTTTGTATCTGTCACACTGAGCTTGACACCACAGAGAATCAGAAATGAATTCAATAGACTGTTTTGAAATGTCAATTTAAACTAGTGTTTAAACACGATATTGGCAATCTATTTCATTAAGAATGTGTTAGCGTTGTTCATCTACTCTTGTTTCGAGATGATATAAAATTTATTTATTTTTACATGTAAAAATGCAAAAACAACTAGTATACTTTATATAAAGTTGTTTATTAACATTGTATTTTTAACAAAGTTCTGCAGTTTTGAAATGTTCGGTCCCCCCAGGTGTCAAGGAAACGGAAATAAATATTTTTAACATTTTCAGGTGTATCTCACTGAAACCTTAAAATAGTTAAGGCATACTATTAGAGGATCCCAGACCCTTTCTATCCTAGATAATTCTAGTGACAAAGAAGTAATTTGCAAATTCAACTTATTAGCTGATGGTCAGGTAATTGTGGAGAGAGCATGTCAACCTCGCATCCAGTAGCACCCTTTTAGTTAGGGGTCCGTCAGCATTTCCACTGTGAACCTGGTGTTCAGGGTTCATAACTTAGTTGCCTTAAATAGCTTCAAGCTGAAACACTACGCAGAAATTTTAAGTCCAGATGTATATTTTAAAACTAAAAGTAGTTCAAGCCTATTCTGCTGTTTTAAGTTAGAGAACACTGGACTATATATATTTATCAGTATCATATGTTTTTCTGGCAGTGTTAAAGAAAGAAAACACATTTTTAGATACATAATCTAGCACTCATAGTTAATTCTGTATCTTTAATAATACCTTTCAGTGCTTGTCAAAAGGAGGGGTCTCAAAATGACGGAGCAATTTCTGTTTGAAAATAATTTTTCGGCATCACTAACCATTTTTCTCTCTTCGAAAACAAATATGCAACTAATAAATACTTGATACCAGAGAGTAGTATTTTTCTTACATACTTAATGATCAGATTTTATGTTTATATTTTTTGAATCTCATTGTATCTAAACAAGGGAAATAGGTTATTAAGCCTGTTAAATCCTTATTAACCTTAATATAAATTATTATGCAAAATTATGTAAATCACAATAGATTTCAAGTTGTATGAAGACACACATTTTTGTGTTATGCCTTTGAATTCAAGAAAACTTATTTAAACTTAAATATTTTGGGACTGAATATATACAACTGCCAAGTAAGGCAGTTGGAACAAAGAATTTCAGGTGGAAAATAAATACTTATAAAATTTTTAAGAAAACTTCCATTAAATAATTGAAAATAGGTATGGTAGATATCTTTCATTCTTTTTTCCTCTTTGGCATTATTGCTTGTATCCTTTCAAAATTCCAGAATATCTATTGTTAAATGATCTAAACCACCATGATACATGGCCCACAAATTTCTGCTTTAAATTGAAATAATTTTTATCAAAATTTCTCTTTGACATACATATTTTTAAAATTATGAAATGATATATTGTGTTTTTTTCTCTAGAATTCAATGGGCTTTTCCTAAGTTCTAGGATAAATTTAAAAAATTAACTGTAGTATTTGTTGAAATGTTTTGATACTGTATTTGAAGTTACCTTTAAATAATTACGATAGGAATAACATTTTTGCTTTTTGCGATTAGACTCCTCTTTTATTGCAAAGATTTGATCAGATTTTATCTTGAAAAATAATTATATTTATTATACCACAAGTACAATGTCCCAAATTATGTTGGCCTATAAGAGTAATGGATTAGTTAGGACTAGACTTCTGTCCATGAAAATGTCCTGGGAAATTTTAATTTCTATATAAAAAGATGAGAAACTGTTTTAAGGGTTTGAGTTAATTATCCGTTCCTCTTCTTTTAGTGATTCACAGATTTAGTCATAAGGAGTCTCATACAACATTTCAATAGCATTACTACAGTTAAATATCCTTTTACTTTATTTTGTGCAAGCCACATACCATGTGATTTAAATGCTAGTTATGGTGAGGTGCGCTAAATAAAGGAACGTCTTTCTCTATTCTGAAATGTCAGGACAGAAAATTACTTCTCTTTTTCTCATGAAGTTTCTTGAATTTGTAGATTTTATATTTTAAAAACACCTAGAAATGTACTTGTCAAGATTTCATCACAAATTATTCTTTGCAGAGCAGTACTTTTGTGTTGGGTAGAATGGAAGCAAATTTTAATTTGTGCTTATTCCTAACTAGTTAAAGAGCGAGTTTTGACTTAGTTTTGACTGCGCTTTACCCCTTCAAATGTTTTTCCATTGCTTGGTTTTGGTACAGATGAAATGTGTAAAAATTTCTTGATTCTTTTGGTTTTCTTTTAGATAAACACAGTTGAGAATCTCCAAGGGAAACTTTTTAGCTTCAGAGATCTACTTAAAGAAAAAAAACCTCTCAAACATATAATTATACTTCTGATTGATATAAAGTCAAATACAGTACTTCCCTCAACTCCCAGCCTTTTTTCCCCCTCAGAAAAACATCGGGCAATCTGATTTGGTAGAGTGAATAGCAGAAAAAACTCAATATATTTAGCCATTAAACTAGAGTTCAGCCTGAACAGGAAAGATTGTCACTACATTGCATTAGCAATTTTTTTTCAGGCCTTGCTCTAAGCCTCATAGAAGGCTCACACAGCTTGTGATTATTTATTTGTTTTGTAAAATGTGATATGTAAAGCACATCAATATTGAATATGGTCATTATTATGCTGCTTAAGCACAGTAAAATGGATTTATGTATTTCACTCTTAGGGATCTTTTCTTTCATATTTTCCCATATTGAATCAATTTTCCATTTCTTCTAACTAAAAAAAAATCCATTACGTTAAAAATATGCAGTAAAATAATAATGTCCCAGAGCTCTCGAAAACCTTTATATTGGGGCAGATTGCTTTATTTTTTTTCGGAAATGTAGCCAGACTTGAGTGAAATCTACCAGCAGTCATCCTGTATCTCTCAACAACACCAAAGAACATCTCAGAATATGAAGAAAGGAAGTACATATTCAGTTGAACCCTTTAAGGATGCTTATAAGTAAAAGCCTATGTTTAACAGACAGCAGATTTGGAACAGAACACTGTGTTACCCTCCTCATCTTACAAAAAGCACATCATTATAATTACACTCTATACTTATATAGTATCTTCTACATTTTGCAGACTTTCCAATTCATATTGGAAAACTGTGGTTCCTGGAGATGAAGTTACTTGTGTGAGGTCACAGCAGATATGTAGCAGAAGTGGGGAAAAAGTGGAGCCTCTTGATTTTAGTATATTCATTCTCTTCTAAACAGTACAACTTTTCTCCTGCCTTTATTAATATGCTTACTGGGTCCATATTTACTTTGACATAGAAAGCCACACAGCAGGTGTTAAAATACAATATGCTGAGTGTACAAAATGTCAAACATTCAGATGAATCCTGGCAAATGTAGTCAATTATTGCAGTATTTTCAAATGTTCACATTTTTGGCATGGTGAATTTGAAAAATTGAAAAGCACATTGCCTCCACCAGGAGTACAGCATTACCTGTATTCGGTAACCGCTTGAGGTACGAGATGAAGTATGCAGGGAGGAAGTCTTGTTTTCAAGGGATTTTACTTTTGACCCAGGAGACTTCTCATATTGAGAATAACTATAGACTTCAGGGAAAGGGGAGGCAGCATGGTTCCCTCTCCTCTGGGATGAAAACAATATCAGAAAATGAGCTGGGAGCAAGGGCACATTGCTGTTAGCAAGGGATGCTGACTCATCATTAACTGACCCTCTCAGAGTTTTAGCGGGTAGCCCCACAGACTTCTGTCTCTGCGAAGTGGGGCTCTTTATGGAGCTCTTTCATTTATTTCAAAAATATTTTTCTGGCTGGGTTCAATGGCTCACGCTTGTAATCCCAGTACTTTGGGAGGCTGAGGCGGGCAGATCACCTGAGGTCAGGGGTTCAAGACCAGCCTGGCCAACATGGTGAAACCCCTTCTCTACTAAAAATACAAAAATTAGCCGGGTGTGGTGGTGCATGCCTGTAATCCCAGCTACTCAGGAGGCTGAGGCAGGAGAATCACTTGAACTTGGGAGGTGGAGGTTGCAGTGAGCCGAGATCATGCCACTGCACTCTAACCTGGGTGATAGAGTGAGACTCCATCTCAAAAAAAAAAAAAATTAATCAAACATTTACCATGTGCTGGACACTTTTGGGAGCAGGTAGATAAGTGGTGAACAAGACAGATGAGATAGAGGCCCTTCTCTTGTGTAGTTTCCAAACTCATATAATCTGGACTCCTAGGAGCGAGTCCCTCAGCTTTGGGCTGGTGTATTTAAAGTAGTCATAGACCATTAATATTAATATATATACATTGAAATGAGGATCACTTGAGTACAGTGGGATGCTGGGGAAAGTTGGCCTGTAATTTAAGGAAGGCTTTATTGATTTTGAGCTGAATAACACAGTACTGAATGGAAGGAATGGAACTGAGAAACAGCCTAAGAGAAAAGTAAGGGTGACAAAAATATTGACAAGTTTTTTGTTTGATTGTTTTCCTGGCTGGAGGAGAGGACATAGTGAAGGGGTGTTGTAGGAAATTCAGCCCTAAGATGTAGGTATAGTGTATATTATCATACTATAAGAAATCTACTTTAATATGCCAATTGTATTGGGAACAATGGAATTAAATGCTTAGGTTTATCTTATGGAAATCTTGACAAAGGAGGGAGTAGCACTAGAAGTAGAAAGAGATAAGTGGGATGTTTACCAGACAGGCAAGCACACAGGAGTGTTATTGTCAGAGAGTTGTGGGCTACTTTAGCTGGGGTCATTGCTGAATTACTATGAGGGCATCTGGAAATGGAATGAGGAAGACATGGAAATAATCTGAATATAGAGTCCTGGAAGTTCATTGAGACAAGGGATTGTTACCAAGGGGCAGGATCTTGGCAGTGGATTAGGAGGAGTATGTTTCATATATGACAGTGAAAGATCTGCACCAGCATCCCCTTACCGGGCTCTGTGTTAATAGAGGCACACATTTGCAAGTTAGCTGACCCAGGTTAAAGTGTGATCTCTAGTCTTGGAGCAGAGAAAATGTTGGTTATTTCTAAAGATGGATTAATCAAGAATAATTAATCTTTTCTTGATTGGGTTAATTTGCTTCAGATTGACTGTTGACGATCAAGTAGTCAAGTATGTCATGCCAGGATGGCAGAGGGGACAAGACATAATAGAAATGAGGCTAAGGGTATACATATATTTTTTTATTTATCATCAGTTATTTTCATCTTCAGTTTCTTGATGACTTTGGATATCCCACTGGATCCCACTGCAGAGTGGGTTTTCAGTAATTATACTGTTATTAAAAGCTGAAGTGCTAGCCCAAAGTAAGGAGATAAAACATAGACCACACCGTATCTAGGCTCTATGTAGTCAGGAGCCCCAGGGTTTCACTTAAAAATCTTCTGCCATAGAGTTGACTAGACTTGATATTTTTTTAGACTGTGATGGGCTAAGACCACACCTCAGGGCTCTCCCTGAGAGGAAGCCTGCAGACAGGTGGTGCCTGGATCTGTATGATGCAATCTGCAGACGGGGCATCCTCCTTCCTTCTGTGGCATAATTCCTATGGACAACTTAACATGGGGATTTAATAAAAATGTACATATTTCCTGTGAAGAATCCAACAACAAATGAAGGACGTTTTTGCCTGCCTTTGAAATGGGTGGGCCCTGAAACATTGGTTTGTTTGAAGTGGCATCACAACTCATACACAGATGCTTCATTCCTGTCGGCCATTACTGGACTGGACTAGAACACTAAGTCCTGATAAGACACATCATTTGCAATGAGAATATATTCTGTTTGTAAGCCTTTCTGATGTGCCATTATTGCTGCTGTGTTTCCTGTTTTATGTAGGTGGTAGCACTTGGAGAGGTACCAGATGGGACTGTGGTTACTGTCATGGCGGGTAACGATGAAAATTATTCTGCTGAGCTCCGGAATGCCTCTGCTGTTATGAAAAACCAAGTAGCAAGGTTCAACGATCTGAGATTTGTGGGCCGGAGTGGACGAGGTAGGTCTCTGACTTTTGATACTGATAATGGAATAAGCACATTAGGCTCCTTTGATGAAATGTATACTAGTCTGTATACAAATCAGCACCTTCTTTTTCTGAATAGAATTACTGAAGATTTGATTTAAATACATCCAGATGAAGCTGAGTGTTTTTCTGAGTACTCAGGCCTTTTTCATTTATTTTATGATATTGAAAATTCAAACAATGTTTTCAGAAAAACTAGCTCCTAATTTCACTGGGTGTGAGTATATAAGGTAGAGAAAAGAACAGTTGGAGGATCAACTTCTGAATTATGAGGAGTCAAATAACTGAGTAAATTGAATGGTAAAGGGGAAAGAAAAATGGATATGTTGGATCAATTTCCTGATAATATCAATTTTGGTCTAAGTTGCAAGGACAGCTGGCATAATGCTCTTCACTTATCACAGGTTACCTCTATATGATTTAATTTACTTTCATAATAAGAATTTATTAAAAATCTTTTTTTAACATAAGGCTTTTCATTTGAATAAGTGAATAATGTATTACTTATGTTAGAATGACTATGTAAAGTTGCCTAGACAGATGAATGATTAGTACTCTAATATTAATAGTTACATACTACGTAAGGATTCCCACCATCTGAATCCACATTCAAAAATTAGAAATCCTTAAATAGAAAATTATCCCTTTTAGGGTTTTTGTAACTGTTTGATAAATGAGGTTAATTTTTTTAAAAAAAGTCTTTAAGGAGACCAATATTTTGGCTTTTATTTACTTATTCTACAGAAAGACTTTTACTGGTTACTCACCTATTAGAAGCATTATGCTTATTTATTTACTTAACTGAATCTAATATTTCCATTTTAAGTATTTTGATAAGAAGAAAGAAAATAGACCACTTCAGGGCTGAGGTGAAATAAAGCCTTATGGAATCATTGCAACCCAGGTTTGACTAGGAAATGAGAAGCACCACTTTTTAAACCATGTCTAATAATTGCTCTTTAGTTTGGATCAGATGTCAAATTATTACCATTGTAAAAACTTGATAAGGGAAATTCAAGCAAGGCTGTTTCCGATGAGTAGTTTTAGTTTACTTTCTAGGAACAGGGCCAAGAAGTTGTACTTTTTAACTTAAAAAAAAATGATTCATGCTAATGAGATACTGTCACTGACAGGTTGTTTGAAATAAAATGAGGCTCACAGCCTCTGGTAGAATCAAAACTAAGGGGGTTATCTCTGCATCACGTTTAGTTCACTTTCATTAAAAGAGGAAAAAAGACACATCCTATATCACTACTGACTGATTAGGTTTGGAGCATGTGTGTGTGTATTCATTCTTCCTTTTTCTCACTTACTTATGCAGGTCCACTATGCAATTAAAGTTTGTCTTTTTTTTTCTAGTAAGAATCAAGAAAAATGTGAACATGATGATTTACCTGTATGCTCTGAATTGCATCTTTCTTCTTATGTAATAATACTTTGTTTTTAACTAGAGTAATCAATTTTAGTTTTTAAAGGATTGGGTGCCATGCTTAATTTTACCTTACAGTTTCAAGTTAGTGTTTTCATTTATCTTACTTTTGTGTTATATAGATGCTACATAACTTTTTTCTGATCAATTTAAGTAGAAACTATGGCAAAGTGATAGTGTACTTTGTAAACCCTCAACATATTTATTTAAGAAACTTCAAAGAGAAACAAAGGGTGTGCACTGTTTTACTATATTGGCTTTCTGAGTTTTGGCTGGTTTCCCAAATAGCAATTTTTATATTTAAAAAAAAAGACAGACTTAACTGCTTGCAGACTTTTCACGCATGGAAGATGAAGAAAGCTTCTTTTGATGAAGTGTAATTATGTCCAAACAGAGCTGACCCCCTCCCCCTATATTTCTTATGATCTTAACTGAAGAAAGTAGGATTTTTCCTTTGAAGCAGCCGGGACTTGGTGGAGGATCTGAAATGCTACAGTCTGCTGCCAGAGGCAGGATGGAGAAATTGGTCCAGACTTGTCTTCAAGACTTAGATGGGGGGTAGGGGGAGTGGGTGGAGAGAGAAAGAAAAATTGATTTATCACTAATAATAGATCTTTATATCACTGCATTAACATTATATGAAAGGAAACAGTAATATCAAGCTGAGATGAAGAGGAAAAAAAGGACAGAGAACACTGATAACAGATCACACTCTGAAAAAAAAAATGGGTTAGTTTTTCAGTGGCAGGAAACCCTTTAACCTGCCTTTGTACCTGACCTGCTTTATAACAGACTCTTCCAGCTTCCTCTTTGATTTTCACACTTCTACATTTCTCTTAAGTTATTAAGTCTGGATCAACATGCTGCTACCATTGTATTTTCTTTCCCAGCTTTAAATATTTCTATTTTCAGTAGTGTTATAAAAAAACACCAAGTTCCTCAAATATTACACTTTTTTTTTCTTTCCACTGGTAGAAACATAAACTCTCAGAAATTGAAAAACAATCTTAGATTATAAAGGAGTCATGTCACTACTGACTTTGACTTTATGGGTCATCTTAGGACCACAACTTTTGAAAGTGCTAGAATGAAAGTAGAGCATCAGTGGAACTTGCATTAAATCAGGAGTGGCTTATGGTTTTTCATCGTTTTTCCTTTATTTTATCCTTAATATTTTAAAGAGAAGTGTTTAAAATGATTTTGGTTCTTAAATTTTTTTTGGTATGCTTTCTTTTTCCTGAGGAAGCCATGGATGACACAATTAGTTATCTACTGACTGCTAGCTCCCTATTTGAGAGCCTGCATTTTAAAACAAGAGCCTGCATTTTATCACTTATGGAAAGTGATAAAAAAGGAGATTTTGAAAAAAAATTAATTTAAGGAAATCATGAATGCCTACATGAACATTTGACTTAAGAAGTACATTATTATTATAGGGTGAAGAACCAATTACTAAATTGGTTGGTAATTTCTGAAAGTTTCTTCAACATTGCATACATATTTCTTCTGAAGGGGCAATAAGAAGTAGAAGGAGCCTCATTCACTTTTGCTGTAGCTGTTAATTACATCTTGATCCTTAGGGTTTGATTTTGGAAGATCATAGTTACACTTAACTACTTGTTTCCTCCCCCAAACCCATCTCTTTTTAAAAGCAGTTTTTTGTTTTGTTTTTTTTTTTTTAAATACAGAACTGATTCTACTCTGAACATTTAAATGCTTTATACTTGAAGGGTGAATTTTATATTTGGCTTTTGTTCCTACATGAGGCATCGCCCTGAATTTAGGAGAATCACAGATGACTTTTAATATCCTAAGTAAATTGTAAAGGTCTAAAGTAGAACTATTACTAAAACCGGTTTAAATAAATTTATGAACAATCTCTTTTTTCTTTTTTCTTTTTTTTCTTTTTTGAGACGGAGTCTCACTCTTGCCGCCCAGGCTGGAGTGCAGTGGCACCATCTTGGCTCACTGTAACCTCCGCCTCCTGAGATCAAGCGATTCTCGTACCGCAGCCTCTCGAGTAGCTGGGATTATAGGCGTGTGCCATCACGCCCAGCTTATTTTTGTATTTTTAGTAGAGACAGGGTTTCACCAGGTTGGCCAAGCTGGTCTTGAACCCCTGACCTCAGGTGATCCACCTGCCTCCACCTCCCAAAGTGTTGGGATTACAGGCATGAGCCACTGTGCCAGGCCGACAATCTTTCTAGCAGGTTATTTAGAGACATTAAGGATAACTGAGATCTCTATATATCCTTGATTTATTAAGATGAGTGCCATAGATGAAAACTGACTCTGAAACACAGTCATGGGAGCCACTGTTAGAAAGGCAATCTTGGGCCCATAGACCACTAATCTGACCCCAAAATGGCACTTTAAAATGTTTTAGTGTAAACTGACTTTCAATTTAGAGATCAGCTGTTTCACTTTTTGTGATCTTTCCATTGTTTTGAGGTTCTAACTTGGACCCAGTGGCATCCTATTCAAGTTTCTGGTTTCCAGTTCTGTAGACTTTTAGTTTTCTGTGACTAGTTTATTAGACTCCTGGCTGGTTTATTCTTTTGGTTAGTCTTAATGTTTATAATAAAGCCTCTCTTTGCTAACTAATTATAAATTATTTAAATCTATGTAATACCCAATATAGTGGATAAAATATGATATGTCAATGACACTTTAAAAATAGATGCTTTCATCATCCTGAGATATTGCATTAGTCCATTTATATTTACTGTTTCTTGGGCACATAGAGCTGATTGAGATGCACCTAGAAATAAATTACTTATTAATTTTTTTAATTGGCACGTGATCAAGTCACTTAAGGAAGTGGCTAAGTGACAGAATATTAAAAAAAAAAGAGCATTAATTTTAGAGTCTGAAAAATGAGGTTCAAATCCTCATTTTTTCATGTATTAGTTGTGTGAACTTGGGTAAATTACTAAGTCTCTCGACGTTTCAGCCTCTTTATTTGTGCAATGGGGGTGAGAAATCTAAGTGGGGAGGATTAATTGAAATAATGTGTATGAAGTGGCACTTAATAAGTTTCCAATTGTTATTCGCCTTTCCCTATTCAAACTGCACCTATCCCATTCCTGTCTTTTCTTTCCTGTTTTTTTCCCCTTGGCTATGAAAAAGTATAGCCAAGGAGACTTAAAGCTATTTATACTCAGCAACAAATGATGTGTGTCTTAAACAGATTTTAGGAACTTACATGGTCTAGGTTGAAAAGAAAACCCATTCACTAGACTTGACAGCCAAAGACCTGTTCTCCATTAAGCCTTGTATATAACCTGTTCCATATTAAGCTTTGAAAAGACTGCATTAAACTTTGCATTGGTACATATTGTCAAAGATTTGTGTTTTGGTTTAATACTCTCAGTTTTCAGTAAAGGGAAAAAGAATCTCTGACCAAAAAAACAAAGCAAAACAAAATGAGCTTTTTAAAGGTCTGTTACAGGAGCAGACTAAATGAGCACTCTGGCCTGAGATTGCTGAATGTTTTATTGAGTCACTGTTTCACGCCCACCTCTTCCTGTCTTGTAACAGTTTGCAGTTTTGACTATCTGACATGATTAACCGTTGCAAATCTAACTGATTACAACTGTTAGTAAGTCTGTGCAACAGAGAATGGTATCTTCTTCTGGAGAAAACAGACATCCAAATATGCTACCAAACTTTTCCCTCTTTTCCCCTTCTTATTCATTGCTTTTAGCTCATTAATTTGAAGCATCAGATGTAATATTTCAACGAAGCACACCTTCTGCTAAAAGCAAAATCTGAGTTTATATTGAGAGATGTCATGTTCATTTAGCAAAAAGTAAGTCACTGTCAGGGAGTTATTTCAAGATTTAACAGCAAGGATGTATGTTAGGGGAGGGGTGGACAGGGAGGAGAAAAACTTTGTTCCAGTAATGATGAAATCATCATACCACAGGCACATTAAGGCCAGGACAGGAGACACTGGCTCCTGTTAAAATGATTCCCATAAGAACTTTCCTCTTTTATCTTCTTACTGTAGTGCAGCTAAGCAAATGAAATGCTAAAGCCATGTGAAGTAAATAACATAATCAACAATGATTTACTATTGTTCTCTCATGAGGTCATGACCTAACCCTAAATAAAGACTTCTAAAATTGTCTGTGCTTGGATGTGTTCCTGATGTTGGAGAAAATTGAAAGAAAAAGAACCTCCCTCAAGTGGACCAGGGTTTTGTTTTCATTACAACTCTTGCTACTGAGGAGCTTTTTTGGAATTGGAGTCTTCCTGTGTAGCACTACAATGAGGACGATGATCTTGACACTAAGCAAATTTGGAAATGTCCTAAGAGTGGTCAACAGAGGGTTTTCAATTTAGAAGAAGGAGTCCTGCCTCTTGTCTTTGTTTCATTGCCTCCTTAGAGATGCTTACATGCAATTTGGAAATCTATGCTGCTGTGTAATCATCAATACTGTTTTTTAATATTCACTGTATATTTTCCCCTTTTATATCTGCAGGCAAGAGTTTCACCTTGACCATAACCGTCTTCACAAATCCTCCCCAAGTAGCTACCTATCACAGAGCAATTAAAGTTACAGTGGATGGACCTCGGGAACCCAGAAGTAAGTACTCCCCTTTTTATTGAAAATGGTAATAGAGTTTCCAGAGACCCTATGAGGAATTTATTCCAAATGAGTTAGGGTCACTTTCATGTCCATAGTGTCTTTGTAGACTTTGCTATCTGCATATATATATATATATATTTTAGTGAGGGACAGTTAATCAAACTTCAGAGTTAGAAAATAAAACTACGGTTTTAAGCTTTACCACACAATTGCTAAGGCCTCCATAACTTTGGGAAATGAGTGAATAATTATTCAGTCACTGTTAACTATTTGCTAAGAAATTTTGCTCATGTACTGAACATACTGGGGCAGAATAGACCCATGAGAGCTGAGGAAGAAAACAGTAAACTTAAAAATCTTGAGCTTAGTCAAAAAGCATTTGCATGTGTTTCCCATGGCCTAAGAATGTGTTTGAGCTTTTTAACTCGCCCACTCAATTCCCTTTATGAAGAGCACACTGCTTAATTACAAAGAATTTATTTGCAAATGATAACTTGCTTGATTGTTACAACACCGTTGTTTGGTCATGCTCTAGTAATTGTTATAGGTAGTTTTCTTTTAACAGATAGAGTCAAACCACCTTTAAATCCATCTTGGTTTATTTGTCTGTCTGGACATCCAGAAGGTTTCACCGGCAATCAGTTTCAGGTAGTGCATGTAATCTATTTGGGCCAATATGTATGTTCCTTCTAAATCTAAATTGACTGAGGTTTGCTTGCCCCACTGCCACCAAAAAACTGCTTTGAACAAACTCAGCATAGCGGTATTTAAATATATTTAGAGATTAAAGATTATTTGATATATAAACCGTTAACAATTGTGTGCCAATGGAAACATCATATAGAACTCTGCCTTTGCTGAGTGAATACATTGGAATCCTAATCACTGCATTGAGGGAGTTCAATTTGGTTTGTGGTAGAGGTATAGCTGGCAGAAGTACTTGTTCTGTAACAATCAACCTGCCTGGATCATGAGAGTGGCATATCTCTTCTTCCCCTCAAATGAGAGAAAAGGTCTCATAAAGTTTTGCCTCCACCCAAGTAGCAAACCTTCCTAGCAGTGGGAGCTTATGATGGGTCCTGTCCCTTTTGCTGCTGTCTCTTTTCACAAAGACTGACTGCTTGCCTGAACTAGGGAGGTTTCCTGCCTCAAAAGCAAGTCTTTGAGGTTTTTGTTTTCTTCTCCTTTCATGTGTATGGCATTCTTCCAGGTTCATAATGTTGAGTCAGTGCTGGCCCTGTCTGTTCAATTTGGGAATGTCCTGTTAGGTGATTGCAGTACATATGTGTGTAAGCCCCAAGTCTCTAGTCCTAAGGGCTAGTGGTTATGGAGTGCAGGTGAATAGAACAGAGCTTTGCCTGGTTTGGGGCTTTGCCTGCCGTTTCTGGATGGCCATAAGTTGGGGATGATGCCTTATGATGGAAGATGTCTTCTAACTTTTGGTCAGACTAGCCCCGGAATTCCTGAAAAGGCAGGACGTCCATTTTAGTAATGCATATAGCAGGATAGTTGGTTTTTAACACGTAGCACCACGAATACTTATCTCTTAAAGATGTTTCCTGCTGATCTCAGCTGCTTTTCTCAGTTCTTGGAAAAACCATTCGTGTGTGTTTATGTGTGTGTGTGTGTGTGTGTGTATGTTTGTGTGTGTATATGTACATATACACAAGAGTTGATGCTCCAAATTTGATGGTTGGGAGAGGAAACAGGGAAGGATAGGTGCTCCCTGTTCTGAACGATATGACAATAAGTGAGAAGGCAGGGTAGCTTTGGAAAAGTCACTTCTGTTTCAAGTGTGGATAGCAGTACCTTATTTAGAGAGGTTTTTGGCCAAATTAGTCAATAGACTCACTGCCTTGTAAAGGCAGAGAAGTACTCTGAAAGCAGTGAGAGTTAGGAATAGAGGGGCCAGGTGGTATACATGGGACCTGAGTTCAGGCTTTGTGTGGTGCCCAGGGTGGGTGGTGGAAGCAGACACAGATCTGCAAATGGTAGACCACCTGCCCTAGATAAACCTGAATAACATTTCTTATTAACTGAAAATATCAGTGAAAATGCAAGGTCATTTTCCTGACATTATGGGGTGACTTGACGAAGTCAGTGTCTGGAGAGAGGGATGGGTCTGCTTTCAACGACTGCTGAATCCTATAACCTGGACTCTGTGCTGGATTCCTCCCTGCTCTTGGTCATCCTGGGCATTGAATATGTGTAGCAGAGCCCTCTTCTCAATATTGTTCTTTAATTTTGACACCCCTAGGTATGGGAAATGCACAAGATTTCCAATTTTCTTAAACAGTGACTATAATAGGATTTTGATTAGTTGGTGCATGTAATGTTAAATGGGAGATCCTCTAGAACACAACTTGGCAAACATTTTTTGTAGAGTGCCAGATAGAAAATTCTTTAGACACTGTGGGCCATATGGTGGTCTCTGTCACAACCACTCAACTCTGCCATTGTAGCTCAAAGGAGCATAAGCAAATACATACATTCATGGTCATGGCTATACAGGTTGAGTGTCCCTTATCCAAAATGCTTGGGACCAGAAGTGTTTTGGATTCCAATTTTTTTAAATTTTTGGAATATTTGCATATATAATGAGATACCTTGGGGATGAAACCCAAATCCATACATGAAATTCATGTATGCTTCATATACACCTTATGCACATAACTTGAAGATAATTTTATACAATATTTAAATAATTTTATGGAAGAAACAAAGTTTATGTTGCGTACTTATGTGTGGAATTTTCCACTTGTGGCATCATGTTGGTGCTCAAAACTTTCAGATTTTGGAGCATTTCGGATTTTCAGATTAAGGACACTCAACCTGTATTCCACTAAAATTTTACTTATGAAAATAATTGGTGAGCCAGGTTGTAGTTTGTCAACCCTTGCTTATTCAAAGTGGCTAATTTTATTGATCCTTAACAGAGAAGGACTTTAGTAAAAGGCTTTCCTGGGGCGGGTGGAGAGGGGAACGGAACAATTTATAGGCAATTGTTTAGCCTCCTCTGCCCCAAATTATAATTCCTTAATTAGTGGTTATTAGTCATAAAAGTAGTATACTTCTGTTTATCACTTATAGTGGCTTGAGGGAGTTGAGAATTTTGTATTATCAGTTCCTGTTGATGGAATTTTACTCCTTCCTCTAAAGATCTGAATATATATTGAAAAGCCTGCTTCTGGTAGCTCAGCTGTTTGAATGAGGACAAATTCTGGGTTAACTGGTTGGGTCTTTATGTCAAACTGCTTGGATAGAAATCCCAACTCCACCATTTATTAACTGTATGGAGGCAAGCAAGTTACCTAACTTCTCTTTGCCTTGGTTTTCTCATCTTTTATGTGAGAATGATAATACTTTCCTCATCAGTCGCAAAAATGTTAAATGTAATGTATGTAAAATGGGTAGCACAGTGACTGTCATGTAGTAAGTGTTCATTAAGTGTCAGGTATTATTACATCAATTTTCTTCAGTGTCAGAGGTTTGCTGTAGAGTTTTTCTTATGGTATGCTTCTAGGAAACAGATACCATCTATAGATTCTGTTCTCTAGTATATTACTTTTTTCCCCCTGCAGATGGCTTCACTAACTTTTGCTCATTAGTAAGTGACACTAATTCGTATTATAAATTATGCCTGAGCAGATATTCATGCTGCCCAGGGAAAGCTGTGCAGAATTGATGATAAATTTAATTTGTTTGCAGCAAAGTCCAAGAGCAGATGCTGTGGCACTAGTACTCCACTCTGAGGCCTTGCCTATCAACACATCTGCCAAGACTTGCTTTTCACTCAAAAATCCAAAAGGTTTCATCCTTCTATGTTTTCTGTCTCTGGCAGCTGAACCAGTGCTGTCACATCACAAACAACTTCTTTTCTTAATATACACATCTGGCGTTGGCAGTTGGACTGACTTCATAAGAGCACATGATCATCACTCATTACAAGATTAAAAAGTACCCTATGGCATCATTGATGTTTTTTAACTTTGATCTTTTGCAGTTGTGATTCATCTCGGTTATAAAACTTCCCTTTAAAGGAACATAGCCGATGACTTATTAGAACCTTCATCTTAAGTAGCATAAACATGAAAATGGTGCACATCTTTACAAAATGCCATTTATTTTCTTTGCCAGCTTATCATTTTAAGACATGACATCATACTTAAGATCCCAAATTTGTAAGTCTTGTGTTTAGGCAAGGCATTTTGACCTTCTATTGGCAAGCTAGCTCTGAAGAACAACTGTCAGCCAGAGAAGTGGTATAGCAGCAGCAGCAATAGTAATGCATTTAGATATCTAGCTCTTTTAAACATCAGTTTCTATTAGAATCCCTTGTTCCATCTGTGGACTTGGTTCCACTTCCAGTCTGATTTAAATAATTTCTACAGGAATGTGAAAACTTGGTTAGCAACATCATATTCTATAGAAGTGGTTCAGAGTTAGGGAAGAGGACTGATGGAAAAAAGGTATTATTGGTTGTGCAAAGGATGGAAAAAGTAAATAACCTTACATAGAATAAATTCTCTTGCTGCATTTTTAGTTGTCTATTGCTAAATAATAAACTACCCTCAAATATAACATCCAGTTTATTACTTCTTATGATTCTTTGGGTTGATTGGGGTTCCTCTGGATGGTTTTTCTATTGATAAGGCTTGGGGTCTATCATGTAGCTGCAATCAGATAATGGTTTGTGCTGGAACATCCCACATGCTTCATTTATGTGTCTGATGCCTTGGTGGGATGGCTGGATGGTTGGACTCAGCTGGAATGATGGGACAGCAGGCCCCACCGCATCTCTGTCTGTATAATCCTGGATCCTCTTCTGCTCCATGTGGCCTCTCCATGTGGTCTTTCCTGCTGAGTCTGATTTCTTACATGGTGGCAGCTCAGGGCTCCCTAAGGTACAAAAGTGAGAGGTCTCAGGCCTTGGCTTTTTTTTTTTTTTTTTTTTGAGATGAGGTCTTGCCGTGTCATCCAGGCAGGAGTACAGTGCC